TTACCCCCAACATCACCAAATTATCACCGAGTGAAGCAGGTACATATACCCTACATGGAGCAAGGCGGGTATGCGTAGAACATATCCATGAAATTCATGTCAATTTTTTGTTTGCTGGTTATCTAGCATATACACATCTATCTTCACATACATCCAGTAATCATCATTAAAAAAAAAACTACTAAAATGATGATATATAAATAAATGACTTATCTATTTTTTTGCTGGCATATGAGTAACCGACAAAATTATTGTAATACTAATTTAGTCTTGCTTCGCCTTGGCCTTTCTGAGGTTGCACAAACCCTCCACAACCGATAGGGGACGACCCTATACCGATACCCCATTTGTGATACCTCCGGGAGTACTGAAATCCTCACAGCCGTTAGGGGACGAGCCGAAGATGTTCATATGAGCAGTGTTCAAAACTCCGGTTGATGTTTAGTTTGGCGATTATACTACCCAATATTAATTGGGGATTATGATGATCCAATTGGTTAAGAATCCCATTCTTAACCAACCAGGATTAAATGGAATATCTATCACTGCCAATCACCATTTGCTGAGGTCTCAAGCCAGGGCGCACTGGCTCAGTTGGCTGCAGTGGAGATGGAGGCGCCACCGGGTTTTCAGCCGCGGCGCGGTTTCCATCAATGGGAGTACCCCTTTATCACTGGATGGATCTGGATGGTTTTTTGGGGAAAATCCCATCATCTAAAATTGCAAAAATGGATGATGACTAGGGGTACTGTCTAATTATTGTGCCTAGTGAAACCAACCATTGGATTGGTGCAATACTTGTGAAGTCAGCAGCTATCATCACCACCTGGAGGATTTTTTGGGACATTGGTGAATAATTCCGTTCGGATAGCAGGCTGAAAATAGTGTACCCCAAAATCCCAAAATCCATTGGATTATATATCGCCCATTTTCCCTATTTGAAATAGCAATTTGGGAGTGTAGTCCATTTTCAAACGCACCCATTTATTTCCAGAATAATAACTGGTGGATTTAGCAATGAAACCTGGTGAAGAACTTCTTGTTTAACCATCAAAGATTGTGAAGACTGGGGAGAAAAACCAACAACGCTCGGTCGTGCCGGTTACGCGCGCCGACAGGTGCTATCATCTATGACAAAAATATTCACAATGTTTCAACCTTCGATGAAATCTGATTTGCTGCAATATGATGACATTTTTTTCACCTTCAGGGCAGCCAGGCATTTTCTTTGGCCAGGTCGTACATGTCAGCTGGCTGAAGTCCTATCTGTTTTTTTTCGGTCTTTGCGGTATTCTGCAAAGGCCGTCAACAGAGCACCAAACCCCAAGAACATAGCATGTGCAAGCGTAGCAACATATGTTGTTACCGTGACATCGAACATATGCTCGCGTAGCGTGCAAGACATGTGCAAGTGTAGCATGCAAGGCATATGCCCCACCCCACCCCACCTCTAACAACATAGCATCATGTAGGTGTGCAAGTGCCAAAGGACGTTTTTAGCCCCACCCCACCCCACCCCATCTCTAACGTAAGTGCCAAGGGACGTTATTAGCCCCACCCCACCCAAAACATTGACGTTACACCGCCTGGCATAAAATGCGCACAAGCGCGCCGTGCCCCTGGGAGGTACCATGGGGATTTAAGCATCCAAAATTGCGATTTCACGATCGAAACCGTAAACAAAATACCATAAACGGAATATTTAATGGGATATCATTTAATACATATATATATATACGTATATATTATATATGTAATAGGGATATAATATGGGGTCTAAATAAGTGATTAATCAGCTATCTTTAATTGGGATTCAATGATCCATCCGCCGCAAATAGAATATTCAACGAAACATCATTAGCTAATTAGGGTCGCAGAATATTGTATGGCTGATTTCCCCCTAGTCAAGATCTTTATTTTCAGTGTGTTTTCATTGAAAATCGATCCAGTGAGTGTATCGAGCTATTGCCTGGTGGAATGTGGTGCTACATTCCCACGGATGCCTCAGATCAAGTACATCCGGAGGCAGGCCCCGAAGAACCAGCAGTTCAAGGAAGCCCTCGCTGTGGCGGATTTTGTCCCCTGCCAAGTCCTTGTTGCTGACCACACTCCGCTTCCACACGATGACGTTTGCTGCCTGGCCGCACATACATACATACATACCATACAATACAGTACAATACAATACATTACAATCCTACAATCATACAAGCATATACAAGCATACAAACATACAAGCATACAAACATACATACATGCATACATACAATCCTACAATCATACAAGCATATACAAGCATACACGCATACAAACATACAAGCATACAAACATACATACATGCATACATACAATCCTACAATCATACAAGCATATACAAGCATACACGCATACAAACATACAAGCATACAAACATACATACAAACAAGCAGACAAACAAGCAATCACACATACCTGGGTACATACATGATACATGCATACATACCTACGTATATATACATACCTACCTACCTACCTACCTACCTACCTACCTACCTACCTACCTACCTACCTACCTACCTACATATATACATCCATACATATGCATGCATACATGCATACATATGCATGCATATATGCATACATATGCATGAATACATACATACATATGCATGCATACATGCATACATATGCATGCATACATGCATACATATGCATGCATACATGCATACATATGCATGCATACATGCACGCATACGTGTGGGTGTCTCTTCAATTTGTTGTGAAACCATCAACTAACCACACGCCGTGCCACGTGCCATGCCGGCTTCTTGCGCCACAGGTGCTGTCAGTTCAACACCGTCGGCCTCCTCAAACCGTTGGGGAAAGGAGGGTCAACCCAGTACTCAATAAGTATCCCCCCTGGAAATAATATGGTTAATCCTAGTCAATACTTGTTAATCATGACCAATGATGATCAATCAATTTCAACCATGGTTTTACCCTCGGAATCAAACATAACAATTGGAAAATAAACCATGTATATCGATGTTTTTTCCCAGCTAGAAACCTCCATTTGTAGGGAATTTTCAATTGCCACGTTTGATTACCAGAGGGTATTTGCAAAAGTGGAAATTCACGGAAATTCCTTTGTCTATGTTTATATATATATATACACAGTTATGTTTTCATGTTTGTTTGTCTAGTTGTTCATGTATATTGATATATAATTCTATATATATATATACATCTATATCTATACAGTTTATGAATGGGCCATTTGCCATAGCTATTGCTAGATGGTCGGTGCCAAAAACTTGGTGCTCCGTTGGAGTTTTCGTCGACCGCGCGGGACGATCTGAGGGGTGGAAGAGTTGGCGGCTTTGCCCCTGGACACAGAGGATACCGCGGTTGCCGGGTGGGGTGAGTCCATGAGATTCTCCAGGGGAAACCCGGAAAAACCTATGGGTTTTAATGGAAGTCATGGGATTTAATGGTGGGTTAGCAGTTTACGCATCAACATTATGGATTTAATCATGATGGATTTAACCATGACATATTGTAATTTAACATAGTTTAACCATGTTAATAAACCAACGAAAAATGGATTTGTTTTAAGGGTATTAGATGTTCAGACAAAGCCATTTGAGGGCGGACTGTCACTTTGTTCTATTCTTTACATGTGCTGTAGACCTAGATCAATGGTGTGTTTCTTGTTTGCTTCACTTTTTTGTTTCAGTATTTTGATGGAGGAATATGTCTTTCATAATTATCCTTCTAAATATTACATTTTTATCGGGATGTCAAAGACGTTAGCCATGTAACAGTTGAGCCTGTACTGTAGCCACTTGGTTTGAATTTTGGGGGGTCAATTTGTGGCATGGCAATTTTTCATGTACACGTTGACCAATGACCAGTTGGTTACAAGGAATAACGACGAATGTCAGCATAAGGTCAATCACTAAAAAAACATGTATACAATGTGTATATAATTATATATATATGGAACATCCACCATTAATTGATCGGTTTGTACGGAAACAACGGGTGTTCGCTGGTTTGCAACGCATTCGACTGTTTATCCCTGTTGAGTGTGATTGATTGAAGAAACCACATGGAGGGTGCAATACCAAGAGGCTATGGCTACAACAATACTAATACTATGATAAGCACAAACGTTTGACTTACTGGTGCTAAACGCAGGGAATTTTCGAAAATGATCCACAATAACTAATAATCATCCCAGCAACCCCCAGCAACCCCCAGCAACCCATCCATTCCCATCCATTCCCTACGTAAAACGCACCAGCAAGTTGATTGGTTTAGAAAGATTCTCACCCTTGATCTGAATCAGCAGAAATCTCCACCGATCCAAAGGCTGACAGAAAGCGCCATGTGTCCGAAGCAATACACTTTTGGCTTGCAACGCAGATTGCCATTGGGAGGACAGCATGGAATATGCTGCTATATATGGCTATATAAATATGTTGATGATTCTTGATTTTTTTAAGGTTGCTGGACTTTTAGATGTTTCTGCAGATTTGTTGGGGGAGCCTTTCAGATTTTAGACAATGCATACATGCAGAATTTCCATTCTGTCGCTAACTACGTTTTGCTTATTTTTAGCTTATACGTATATGAATTATAAATAAGGAGGCGATTACCACATCACAATTTCATTGAAGTCCTCCAAACTGCAACAGATTCGACCACTCCGGCACCCAAAAGCACGACAACTACTCATGGCACGAACTTTGACCATCACATGTTTCCCATGGTTACACGGATTACATCCTGTGTGCTCCACTAATTATGTTCGTACAATATATGTGTAGGCAATATTTCAACATGTTTATGGTATGATATATATATACATTTACATGTAATGAACCTGGGTTGAATAACTATGTTACCATGTGTTTTTTTCCCAGTCTATATCACACATCCTATAATGCATAAACCACGTTTTTTTTTCAGGTCAATGGATTGATTCTCAGCCAGGGATAGGAGTCACCGGAGTCATCTCCGGTACCGGTCAGCGCCATGGCTTTGATTTCGGGGCGAGTCCCGGCAGGCGGTGAAGCGGTTTTCCGCCTGGATGGTGATAAAAGCATGGGGATTTAATCATCAATTGTTAGCCAACCAGCTCATAAACCAGTTGGAATGAAGTGGTTATTACCAGTTTATAATGGTCATTACCAGTTTAACCATCAACGGTTGGGAATATAATGGTTATTACATCAATGGTTATTACATATAAACCAGTAATCATATGTAATCATCAATTTTTATTACCAATTGGAATTAACCACTGTAATCACGCAATGGAACTACAATCATATGATTACAGCATGATTGTAGTTCCAACTGGTTTCATGCAACCAACATCTCGGCATGATTAGAATACATTGGAACACAGATGCTGCAATGGAGAGAACGAAATGGGTACAAATAACATATCTCATCGATGCCACATCCACGAGTGAGCAATCTGTCCGAGCTGCCCCAGTTCCAAGAATCCACTGAAATGAAGGTTTCCATTTCGTCATGGAGGTACCCCAAATCATCCAGTCGTCATGGACCATGACTTAGTATTGAAAACCATGGTGACTTGGTGATCCCCATTGAAAAAAATACTGCCAATGATTTTTTTGTGGATTTGTGGACATGTGTATGACTTCTTCCAGTGGTTGTAAACCATGTACCATGAAATGTGTGTCAAGTTTGTCATTGGTCACCACCCTGGGACGATGCTTGAACTTATGATACGCTTACTATCCTTTCTACCCATTTCCCGTTTTAACTCCAAGAAGTGGAACATTGAAATCTAGTTGCATGTTGATGTATGTTGATGTTTTCTTACTATTCCCAAGTTACTACAACACACTTTCACCATCCTTCGCAAAACGGGCAGGCCACGCGGTCGTCACCCGCATAGCGCGACGCGGCATTTCCAGCATCGGCAGTTCGGTGACACCGTTCTGGCCCACGGAGCTGGATGCCAGCGTGTCCGTGGCTTGGACAGCTGGTTGGCTGAACTGGGTATGGGTCAATACCTATAGATACAATTTTTAATGGGATGAACATCCATTTACCAGCTATTTTGGGGTTCACTAGGTACCAGGGTTTTGACACACTGCCAACTGGGTGGATAGAATTGTGGTAAACTTGATGGACGTGGAAAAAAATATCGAACACACATGAACACACAATTTGAGCTTGCTGGTAAATATACTAATCAAGTTTACCATCAAATACCAATATCGATGTCAGTTTTGGTGGGATATACATGTGAATTTCAAAGTGTTTGAGCAACAGAAAGTGAGACCTCCAAGGCGAACGGATGTGACACACGAGAAGTTTTGGCTGGTGAGAGAAACGTTCTGGGGTTGTGACTGCTTCCCACAAACGTCCAGGTAAATTTCGGCATGGCGGGTTGATGTTGATAGCGTGTGATTTTCCCATAAGCAGGATAATATGATGTAATATGCGCATGATATTGGTTTGTCTCAAGCTTGGAGACGCCCCTCGTTCCCTTGATTTATCATACAGGGTTCACTGTTATATTTTGATGTCCACAACTGGCGGACTTCCCCTTTTTTGGACAACCCATTTGTTTTAGATATGTTTGTCAAACAAAAAACATATTCTAAAACATGCAATCTTCACACGCACATATATATATAGATAAGATATGTTGGACAAACATGTTTTTGGACAAAGCATATGAGGGTGTCCATAAATAGGGGTGCCCCACATGTATGGAAACCCCCATAGTGGATCCATTGCTGACCAATGGGTACACCATTTATGGTTGTTTCATCCATAAATACGATACCCGGCCTGGTAAACATACAAAAAGCTTTTGCAAATGGCCATAGAAATAATTGATTTTAACAGTTTGCTATTGAAAATTGCCATAGAAATAGTTGATTTTAACAGTTTACTATTGAACATGGCCATAGAAATAGTTGATTTTAACAGTTTGCTATTGAAAATGGCCATAGAAATAGTTGATTTTAACAGTTTGCTATTGAAAATAGCCATAGAAATAGTTGATTTTAACAGTTTGCTATTGAAAATGGCCATAGAAATAGTTGATTTTAACAGTTTGCTATTGAAAATGACCATAGAAATAGTTGATTTCAACAGTTTGCTATTGAAAATGGCCATAGAAATAGTTGATTTTATCAGTTTGCTATTGAACATGGCCATAGAAATAGTTGATTTTAACAGTTTGCTATTGAAAATTGCCATAGAAATAGTTGATTTTAACAGTTTGCTATTGAAAATGGCCATAGAAATAGTTGATTTTAACAGTTTGCTATTGAAAATGGCCATAGAAATAGTTGATTTTAACAGTTTGCTATTGAAAATGAACATAGAAATAGTTGATTTTAACAGTTTGCTATTGAAAATGGCCATAGAAATAGTTGATTTTAACAGTTTGCTATTGAAAATGGCCATAGAAATAGTTGATTTCAACAGTTTGCTATTGAAAATGGCCATAGAAATAGTTGATTTTATCAGTTTGCTATTGAACATGGCCATAGAAATAGTTGATTTCAACAGTTTGCTATTGAAAATGGCCATAGAAATAGTTGATTTTAACAGTTTGCTATTGAACATGGCCATAGAAATAGTTGATTTCAACAGTTTGCTATTGAAAATGACCATAGAAATAGTTGATTTTAACAGTTTGCTATTGAAAATAGCCATAGAAATAGTTGATTTCAACAGTTTGCTATTGAAAATGGCCATAGAAATAGTTGATGTTTAACAGTTTGCTATTGAACATGGCCATAGAAATAGTTGATTTCAACAGTTTGCTATTGAAAATGGCCATAGAAATAGTTGATTTTAACAGTTTGCTATTGAACATGGCCATAGAAATAGTTGATTTTAACAGTTTGCTATTGAAAATGACCATAGAAATAGTTGATTTTAACAGTTTGCTATTGAAAATGGCCATAGAAATAGTTGATTTTAACAGTTTGCTATTGAAAATGGCCATAGAAATAGTTGATTTTAACAGTTTGCTATTGAACATGGCCATAGAAATAGTTGATTTATCCATTAAAAATGATGATTTAGCCAGCTATAACATGGTGATGTTCCATATGTAAACGTAAAAACCAGAGGCTAATGACGTCCCGCCACGGTTTTTTGTCATCAGGACGGTTCCTTGAAAAACTCCTTGGGATCCCTGGGGTCTCTTGGCTCGGCGTGCCTTGGATGAAGTCACGGGACAGACACCTGGAGGTTTCCAGCGAGTCATGGGACCCAAAAAGATCAGATGGCATTTTCCACGGTCCCCATCCAGCCATAAAGGGGTACCCTCTGGTTATGTCAAAATAGCTATTGAAAATGGCCATAGACATAGTGGATTTTCCCAGCTATAAAATGGTGATTTTCCATAGTTATGTAAACGTTTACCAGAGGGTAACCATCCAGCGAGCGATAAAGGGGTACCACCATTTATGGAAATGTTTACATAGCTGTTGAAAGATCCACCATGCTATTAGTGGGTAAATCAACTATTTCGACTGGGCCATGTTCAATAGCGAACTGTGAAATTACCAGAGGGTACCACCATTTATGGAAGCCTCCATTTGGTTCTGGTGGTATCCTGAACTTAAAGGATGGTGTTCCATTGGATTTCCCCGAAACGTTGATTGCAAGATGTTGACGCCGAGCCTCGATCTTCCGCTGAAGAGCATCATCCTGTTGTTCTTTGCTTCCTTGTCTCGAGCTGGTTTGGACGTGGTTCATTTCAGATATATATATATATATACATGTATGTATATGTTACACACACATATATATATATATATATACATATACATATATATATACATATATATATATATATTTATACACAAACATATTTACATATATATATATATATATATATTTGAGTGGATTCTTGGAACCGGGGCAACTCGGATAGATTATTGCTCACTCTTGGATAATTTGTCATCGATGAGATATGTTATGTACCTATACCAATCCACCTCCCTATTGCAGCACAATGTGTGATGCCGAGTGCATGTTGGTTGCATTACCAGTAGCTGTAGTTGTGCTGTTGTTGCTGCTATCGCCGGACTGGTCAGAAAAAAAAAACGCACTGTTCTTTGTAATAGAGATGCTTACAATGAACCTTACAATTGCGTACACATGATTTTTGAGCTGCAGCTATTGGATGGCTATGTAACCTGTGTTTGATATCAGAACAAAGTGTCCGTTTGTGGGCCCTTTGGTGTGTCATGTTTGAGCCTCAGCTAAATGTTCACTACTGCCCGCCAATTTTAGATCTTATCTATGTAGGCTACACGTCGGCTTGTAAACATAATACGGTAATTATATGATATGTAACTTAATATACATAGATACCATAGATACACACATTCATTATTGGCGCGTGGTCCCTTGGTATTATCATTATGATACCCAGTTTAATATATATATATATATATTTACACAATTTATATGCTCCATGTATGGAATCTGTACGTACATGAAGCCAAAAAAATGCATTCCATACATATGGGATACATATCTATAGCCCAGTCGATAGAATATGGAATGTTCAAACATATTAGTGATGTTGTCAAATCTCAATATTCTGTCTACTCCAGGATGATTATATATACTTAAGGGCTGCCGCCCCTGCCGCCGACCCCGGAAAAGAGAAACTCGCAATGGTGTCAGCTGGCTTCATTCGAGTGTTCTGTGAGTTGTCAGCCTGGATGCTTTATATATACATTATATATATATATGCATCAAATAGTATATACTTGTGTGTTGAATTGAAATTTTGCTAGTCCCTATCCCTGCCATGAAGCTCAAGCATCCATCCTTTTGCTTTCCGTTTTTCGGGGGTGGTGTGTCCTCCTCCCCGTGCGCGAGACATAGTCTTCGCACGGGAAAGGCACATCAGTGAATCATAAAGAGTTGTTTGAAAGCAAAAGAATGGATGCTGACTGGCTGTCCTGGATCATGAGCATGGTGTCTTTGGTGGCTCCAAGCTGCAAGCATCAGGCCTCCAGAAGGGACCCTTCGCCACAGCAAAACAGCACCTAATTGCGTGCCGA